GAGTGGTGGAGGGAGGACGCTAGGCATACTCACACTAGGACTTTTGAACTTATTTACAGACGAAAATACAGTCACATACAGCCACGCCGGGATATAAGGCAGTCAGGTACATTAAACCACCAGTAGCTTTCCCAGCTTGAAAATCAATTCTGGCTCGGGTTATGCGGAAGCCAAGTGGGATCGCGACCCGTTCCGTTTCCGGCCTTTTTTTCTGCCCGCAGCCGACATATGGGAAAGGTACTGGTGGTTTAAGCCCCAGCTATTCTAAATTACCCTGATGAGAATGGGCCTGACAGTGTTCATGAGCGGTCCCACAAGTTCAATGATGATACCTCAAGACTGCAGAAACGACAAAAATCAGTGGGCTATTGGACAGAATGGAGAGCACCCCAATGGAGAGCTGACAAGCTTATTTAGGCCCCAGTGGTTGTCGTCTGTTAAAACGTCCGTTGAGATTCCCTGGAAATACATTGAGTGCCTGGAAATACATTGAGTGCCTGTGTATTCTGCGACACAAGATATCTTGAGGGAATGGCTTAGGGAGGGATCATCTAGGAGATGGAACATCTAGGACAGGCGGAGGGAGCAGCGACATTTGAATAGTATTAGCTTGTAGCTGCCTATCTGGCGCCCTTGTTGGAGGGTGAAGAGATACACTTCATAAGCTGCCCGGCTCCGTGGCTGCTTTAAACCCAGAGCATTTATAGTCTTTTCTTCATGTCCTGCTCAGTCAATCCCCTGGAACCCAGGGTAATCAATGCTGGCAGGAATTTTCTTCATTACTCCTCATATGTCCTCTGATTACATTCTGTATATGGGACGCTGGACCCGTTTTCTAGCAGGTGATGCTCCCCACCAATAGATGGAGCCTCTCCCCGGGTGGTAGCGGTGTCTGCTCTTATCAGCACCACTATCAACGATGTGTTTGAAAAAAAAAAAAAAAAAAAAACCGTCCGTTGAGTAATGCACGCAGTGAACGAGTACACCGTCCGTTACTTCGACCTATGTAAGAGTCTGTCCCTTCCCTTAGGAAGTGTGCCCTAGCCTACCTACACTAAGTGCGACCAAGTAAGAACAATTAACATGCAGAAAGATCACAGCATGCAGAAGAAAAGCAAGACCACATTGCCGAGATAAGCTAGGAAAGCCAATGACAAATGAAGTATGCAGACAGGTCAGGACTCATTCATAATCATCCATGCAATCCACCAGGCATTTACAACAGACAACCAAGCCATCCAGGGCATCCATTCAGTCATGCGGGCGCCTACCTGTCTGTCCCTCCTCTCCCCCTACTGGGAATATCCTATCCCCTATAGAGTACCAAGAGCAGTCGAAAGCCACCACATGCTGTCCCTAACCCCTGCCTGGACCAGTGGGTCCTTCAAGTTGAAGAATTTGCCTGCTCTTATGCTCTTGCAACTATGAGCTCCTCCCTTGCCATAGAAGAAATCAAATAAAATATATATTTTATATTCTTAAAAAAAAAAAAAAAAGTCGGTGAAACTCCGACGAAACAGTTTGTCACAGCCCCTCGTTTGTTGTCCTCTTCTCACTCTCCACCTACGGTTTACTGGGCAGCTCTGTTTGACGATATACCGTCAAACAGTACATAATTCATTTTTGACTCGGTTGGGCAAGTGATCCCGGGCCACTCTGGTAATGTAGCTCAGGAGAGAATTTGGTGAAATTTTTGGGGCCAAATAAGTAGGGTTCAATTTCATTCAAAAAATACAAAATGTCCGTTTTAACGAAATGGCTGTTCATTATTAATTGTATTGTTAACTACTATTATTATATTATTCTTCATCTCCTTCATGAACGTTTCTTCGAGTTGGGTTGTCAGAGGCTCAGCGCTACCTGAAACAAAAGAGAGAGAGAGAGAGAGAGAGAGAGAGAGAGAGAGAGAGAGAGAGAGAGAGAGAGAGAGAGAGAGAGGGAGCATCCTCTCCCCATAGCCATCAACCCCCCTCCCACTTCACACACTCCTTCCACTTGGCCACTTCCCGCCCCCCCATTTCACAAGAGAGAGCATCCTCTCCCCATTGACATCAGTCCCCCCTCCCCTTCCCATTTCACAATCTCCTTCTACCACTTAGGCACTTTCCTGGCCCCCCAACTTCACCAAAGAGAGCATCCTCTCCCTATTGCCATCAATCCCCCCTCCCCCTCTCACTTCACAACCTCCTTCTACCACTTAGGCACTTTCCTGCCCCCCACTTCACCACTGGGCCCGGCTTTGCCACCTCATCCCCACCCACTTAGCCACGTCGTCCCTCCAAGCTCGCCACCTATTCCCACCACTTTGCCACCTTCCCCCCCCCCCCACTTCACCACCTCCTCAGCCTCCATTTCATCACACCCTCCCCCTCCATTTCACCACCTCTTTCCCCCAAGTTTGCTATCTCCTCCTGCTACGTTGCCACTTTCCTGCTCCATCCACTTCACCACGCCCTCTCCCTCCACTTTACCACCTCCTCCCACCACTCATCACTTGCCCACCCCCCATTTCGCCACCTCCTTGACCTCCACTTCGCACACCACCCTGCAAGATATCTGCCCCCTCAACCCCTTTTTTTTTTTTTTTTTTTTTTCAAAAGAGCCCAGTGCCCAAGGCTGATTGTTTTGTCAGACTTTAGTGACTCATGAGGGGGCCGAACCCCAACAATTTGACTGATGCACAAGGACCTTGAGAAAGTGCTCCATTTCCTCATGCCAATTTCTACGCCAAACAGCGTCTGTGTGTGTGACCGCCCACGCACACTGTGAAAAAGTGTGAAGTGTGTGTATGTGTGTGTGTGTGTGTGTGTGTCTCCGGGTATGGGTGTGTGTGCTCGCAGATGTGTGTGTGTGTGTGTGTGTGTGTGCGCGCGCCCACAGCCTTTTGATGTGGAGTACCCCAGTTGGTTGGGCCCGTGTGTTCTACAGCTTCCTGTGTTGCAAGAGACAGGCTGCAGGTTCGAGTCCTGGCTCGCTCGAATGAGTGCCCGCGATTGGAATCGGCCATACTGGACTCCGGCGCATTTGCACCCCCAGCCTGGTACCTCACGGGCGGACGGTCACAAGGCTGTGTAGATGTTGTCTGGGGGGTCCCGCAAACCGAGTGTCCTGCTGGCTGTGCTTACAACATAGACGGTCGACGGGACGAGGGTCGCTGAGGGACTGGGTACCATTGGGAGTCTCCCACCTTGGAATGCCCAACTCTTCCCTGGGTGTGTTGTGGGAGTGTGAGTATAGCACTGGCCCTCAGGGTAGGGCCTGCCTATACCTCAGCATGCACAACCTTTTTATAAAATTAAAAAAAAAGAAACAGCCTTACCTCGTAATCTTCGATCAACTGATATGTGATATATTAACTGATTGTAATCAGATGAAGCCGTTTCCTTTTTGTATGCTGAAAGGTGCAGGGCCCACCACATCTCTATAGAGTCTATACTCATGCATGGGATTTGTACGCAACCATTTACCGTTCAGTACACAGCTGCACCTGATATTTTATCTGTTTTCTTAGTGATGCTTTTTTTTTTCCCCCTCTTTTTTTTTTTTTTTCTGGTACAAATGCTCCAATCTATTCGTGGGGAGCACCACGTGCTGGGAACCGGGCCCAGCGTCCCATATAGAGCTACACAAGTCATTTGAGATACCGGGGCCATTACCCGGCTTCGGCTGACAATCAATCTGAGAACTATTGGAGAAAATCACGAGAAGTAAAGGAGACGTTGAAAAACTATGAATGACTACTGACTTCTTCTCGAATGCTCAGAACCCCTAGACTCCCAACCAAAACTCTCTAAGACTGTCCAACACTGTCTTATTCCCTGTCAAGCTCTCCGAGGCCTCACACACCCAGCGTACTCCATTGGAGGCGCAACGCGACAGGGAGGGCTGCGCCCCGCCAATCTCACCAACAGGCTACGGAGAAGCGGGTAGGTGCGGACAGCGCATGGCGACGAAGGGCGACGGGGAGCATCAGTGAGTGGAGAGGCGCGAAGGAAGAGGATGTGGCGCATGGCGACGAAGGGCGATGGGGAATAGCAGCAAGCGGAGAGGCGTGATGGAAGAGGATGTGGACAGGGCATGTGACGAGCGGTGATGGGTGAAAGGAAGAGGGTTTAGGTTGGGGGGTTGGGGGGATGGTATGGTTGTTGTGTAAACCGCTTTGGTGGATTTCGCCAATAGGAAGGGGTCGAGCATGACGACTTTGCAGAAGGCTCTAACTAGGGTGCTTCGTTCTTCCAGGTGAGTGCTTCTATTTGGGAAACGACTTCGGCCTTCTCCGTCTACAGAGCTGCTAGTCTGGTGTGCACGTTTTTTTTTCTGGTATTTTTTCGAGGTTGCTTTTTTACAGGTTTCGCATCATCAAGATTGGAAGTGAGTGAAGATGTTGAGTGGGGTAGAGGTACAGCTTGGGCGATGGGATTGATCTCCCCCCTCCTTCCTCAGTTTTGGTGTGAATGAATGTCTAGTAGGGTTCGAACCTCCTGCGACGACTCCGTGACAGGTTTGGTGAGGTGGAGCCGCACTGTCTTCTGATCCTGGGGGGATTGGAGATGACCGTTGTTGTCTTCGATGTTAGCATTGCCTCGATGCTGAGTAGCTAACAGTGGGAGGAGGGGGGTCCTCTTTCGCCGAAGATGGTGGGGCAGGGTTTGAGGGGTAGGGTGGCAAGTAGGTGGGGGTCGAGGAAGGGGGCAGGAGTTTTTTGGGAAAGCTCTATGGTTGAGGGTGGAAATTTCTATTAGGATGTCTACGTAATAGCCGTGATTTAATAGGAATTAAGTACGATTTTGAAAGGTGTTTCTTATAATTGTCTTCGCCCTCTCACACACAATTGATTGTTGAGATGTTTTTCTGTTTAGCGTCGATTTGTTTTTCTATTTAGTAATTTCTTGATTTACTGTCGTAAGTGAGCTTGTTGATTTTTTATATCCCCTAATTATAGGATTAAGTACGATTTTGTAAGGAGCTTCTCATAACTTTTCAATATGGGCCAATTGGCTTTGCACTCTCACACACAATTGATTGACGAGATGTTTTACTGTTTAGCGGCGATTTTTTATGATTAGTAATTTCTTGATTTACTGTCTAAGTGATTCCGAACCTTGGGGCTCTAGAAATCAGAGTCATAAGTCTTGGACATCAAAATCGATTCCCTAGTTTGGTTCCCTATTTGGATTTTCAAATCTTATTAAAGCTTATTTTCAATCTCATCTTTTCTCAAATTTGAACACTGTATTCTGATTTTTTTGTGTGGAATATTTCAAAATTGTTTTCTCTGAAGTAATTAGTCCTAGTTATGATCTGGTCTTGTAAACAAAAAGGGGAAGGTTGAAGTAGAGGCGAGATGGAAAGGGGGGGGGGCTCAGTTAGAGGAGGGATCAGCGGTTCAGGGTAGTAAGTCTAACTAGAAGGGCGGGGKGGGACGACATTGGCCGGTGCTGGAGCATCTGCTCTGTGACCAGGGAGCTTGAGGCCATTGAAGTTATGCTGAGGGTGGAAGGCATAACCATCTTGCCCGACGTAGTTGTTGTCGGGGCGGTGACCCTGTAACCTTTTGAGGGGCCATACAGTTAAGAGAGATGTCGAGGGGGAAAGACACTCTCTGTCCGTTAGAAACAGTTAGGTCGATATTGGGGCAGCTTGTGTTGCCTTGTAACCCTAGCAAGGGGGTAGTCGAGACCTGATGATTTCTGGTACGAGGATTGAAAGCCTGGCCGGCATGTCCTTCATCTGTGGTGAGGGTAGGAGATGGATGGTTGGTGGTTCCAGTTCTGGTCCTTTTTCCTTTTTGCTTTTTCGATGAAAATCGGGAGTACGGTTTGGAAGGAATTTTGTGTGGGCTCGTGCAGTAGAGGAAGGGTGGCTAAGGGGGGTAAGTGTACTAGAAGGGCAGTCGGTGCTGGAGCATTGGCTCTGTGACCAAGAGGAGCCTAAGGCCATTGGAGTTATGCCGAGGGTGGAAGGCGTAACTACCTCGTTCAACGTACCTGATGCCTGGGGCGGTGACCCTGTAACCGGTAGGGGGTTTTGCAGCTAAGGAAGTTGTCGAGGGAGGAAAATACTTCCTGTCCGTCGGAAAACGACTAGTTTGGTGTTGGGGCAGTTTGTGTTGCCTTGTAACCCTAGCAAAGGGGGTGTGAGAACTGGCGACTTCTGGTACGAGGACTGAAAGCCTGAGCGGCGGTTTCTCGTTTGTATTGAGGGTTTGAGTTGGATTGGCGGTGGTTTCATTTCTGATTTTTGTCTCTGTTACGATCCTGGTCATTTCCCAACTGCAAATTCACAATGAAAGACAATGCCACCCAATTGCGAAAGAAATGCAAGCACTTGCAAAGAGATAAAGACCAGAGGAGAGAGAAAGAAGAAGAAGAAGAAGAAGAAGAAATACACCAGCAAGACCAATGACAATTCCCCCTTCTCTCTCCACCTTCCTCCTCCTCCTTCTCTTCACCAATCTTATTCTTCTCTCAATAATAATAATAACAATGAATGGATGAACCAGAATCAATATCTGAAGTTCCCTCTTACTGCTGACTCAACTCACAACAACAACAACAACAACAAGTCCACCATGGCTATGGCTCCCCTCCTTCAACCTCCTCTCTCATGCATAGGCCATGGCAGACTACTAGGAGGCAGCTATAATGCTGCCCTGATGTCCAGAAGACAACCCAAAACAGCTATGCCGCTGCTTGACTTGGTCCGCTATGCCTGACTCTACCTCGAGCTGCCCTGATGCAGCGCTACCTCAACTGGGGTCTTCCAGATGAAGCGCCCAACAAGGTGATGGAGACGGTGTCCACCATAGCCAGGTAAGTGCCCTACCACTCTCCTACCATGCCCCCTTCTTCCTCCTTCTCAAGTTGGGGTGCTCGCCATAGCCAGGCTGAGCCCCAGCGGACCTTCACCTCCAAGCAGCGCTGCTTCAGTCCAGCGGTGCGCTCCAGCAGCATGTCGCCAATCCTTGCATACCGCAAATGAGGAAGAGCTCTCCGCTCTTCCTGAAGATATAGCGGCCTACCGGCCTCCTGGGCGGTGACTTCCTAGGCCAAGCGGCCTCCCAGCAACCGGTACCTCCCTCTTTTGGAGGGAAACATCATTGCAGACTCTGTTATTGTCCGCACAGGCCCTAGACCCGGGCTACTTGGACTGGTACCGGCCTACCTCTAACCTACCGCTACTGGGCCTCTAAAAATGCCAACTTTTTGTCTTCTTCTGCTCGGCCTACTTGCTACTTGAGTGTTTTTCGCTAGCTGCTCTAAGTGTCGTGGGCCTACTCCCCGCTACCGGCATGTTTAACCCCCTGCAACCCTTCAAAGTCACGACCACAGGTAAGTACCGGCCCGGTGGGCCTTGCAACCCACAAGTACCCTTGCGGGTCACACACACCTACCCAACCAGCAAGCACTCAGACAGGCATGCAAACCAGAAGGCACGCACACACACACAACCGGCAAGCACTCAGACCGGCATGCAAACCAGCAGGCACGCATACACACAGACTTGGGACCACAGCAGAATGCGGGAATCACAACAAGGCATTCATTCCATTGGCAAATCCCAGAAATCAGCAGTGTTCCCAGTCTGTGTTTCTGGCGGGTCATTACATTACTCCCCTCTCGAGAGCGAGGTCCCTTCGAGCGAGTAACTCAGTCAGAGTTGGTATAGAACGCATCGTAGGAGTACATCAGAAAGAGAGACTTGGTCAATCCATGAGAAGTCATTGTTGCTACGAACTTAGCGGTATGCCCTTCGGTGATCTGTCTTTCATAAGCGTTCACAACATGGGGAGCACTTTTTAGCAGCTCTTTCCGATCGATCCAGAAGAATTCAGTCAATGGGTGATAGAGGAAGTTAACCTTATACTGTTTGTTCCTCCCTCTGCCCTCGTGAGATACGATTATGTCTATCTCATGGCCGCCGTCGATAGGGCGAGGTATCATAGGATCTCGGAAGGGAAACGTCTCATCATCAATGTGTGGAAACAGTCTGGACGCATGAAAGACCGGATACGTGCGCAGGTGAGGAGGCACGTCAATCACAAATGCAGGGCCAAAATCATCCCCGACTACCTTCAGAACCTACCAAGGGTCATAGTATAATGGAAGAAGCTTCCGTGAGATGCCCTCTTCGTCAGAAAACTCAGACATTTTGACCCAAACGTAATCCGCAACTTTGAATTTTTCTTCTTTGCGCAGCTTGTTAGCATGTTTGATCATGGCAAGTTGGCGCTTGTTCATGGCTGCAGTAACAGCTTTGAGCAAGCGTGCGTACTTGGCATTATAGCCAGGCATGTCGGGCATCAGACCAGGTGACCGCTCGGGGAACAGATAGGAGAGGGGATTGCGCATTGGCCATCCATACTGCAGCTGATTTGGGGTCACACCAGTTGCAGAGTGAATGGAGTTGTTGTACAACCCCTTCACTTTGTGTAATTCCTTGTCCCACGTGTTCTGATCTGGAAGAATCAGTGCGCAAAGCAGTTGGATGACGGGTTGGTTGATCTCCTCGGCCAATCCGTTGGCTTCGGGGTGTCGACCAGAAGTCTTGTTCAGTTTGATGTCATAGATCTGAGACGTGAAGTCTTTCCAATCTTTGTTGATGAATCTGGTGTCCCGATCGCTCACAATGGTTTTTGGGACGCCGGACTGCAGAATGTACTGCTGATGGAATTCCTCGATGACAAGTTCAGTCGGGGCATGAGGAGGGAGAGGAATCAAGTTCAGAAATTTGGAGAAGCGGTCCACAATGACCATGACTTGTGAATTCCCAGCCTCACTCACCTTTCCCATGTCCATGAAGTCGATGGAAATCGACTCACCGGGTCCATCAGGAATGGGGAGAGGTCTCAGTAGGCCATAAGGCTTATGCCTGTGGACCTTGATTCTTTGGCATACCTGACATTCAACAATGAATTTCTGAGCAGATCCTTTCATCCCTGGCCAATCAAATTGTTGCAGAAGACTTCCATAAGTCTTCTCGAAGCCAAAATGTCCACTCCGACCATGCGCCGAATCCAAGAAATGAGTTCAGAGAGGCGCATGGTTGGGTACACACAAACGATCGAACTTTCTATACCGGCAGAACACAAGACCCTCGCATTCGTGAAAATCAGGCTGACTGTTAGGGTCAGCCTTGAGCTGCTCAAGGATGGGACTGAGGTCCGGATCCTTGGCAGTGTGTTCAATCAGATCCTCCTTCAGTTTCCTTCGGAGGTCGTATGAACCCACAAGGCAAGTCAAATACTCGGGATGACGCGACAAAGCATCAGCGACACGGTTATAACAACCTTTCTTATGTTTCAACTCAAAACTGTAGACATCAATGTCATGCAACCAGCGGGTCAATGTAGGAGAGAGTTCAGATTGTGTCTGAATCCACTGCAAGGTCTGATGATCAGAGTAGACCCTGAAGTGGCGACCCAAGAGGTAGTGCTTCCAATGTGCGAGGGCTTCGCGCAGGGCGTAAAGCTCACGCATATATGTGGAGGTAGTTTCCTTGTGACTGGGCATGCGCTGGCTGTAATATTCAAGCGGACGCAGGTCATCGCCATCGTCTTGTTGCAGCACTGCACCAATCCCAAACTGACTCGCGTTCGTAGTGACTACGAACGTAAGGTTGGGATCCGCAATGCGGAGCATAGGATGACTCACCAAGGCCTCTTTCAAGGCTTGGAACGTAGACTCACACTTCTCACACCATGCATAGGCAACATTCTTGCTGGTTAGTCTTGAGAATGGGTGAGCAATAATAGAAAATCTGGGTACAAACTTCCGGTAATAAAAAGTCAAACCGAGAAAAGAACGCAGTTCGCGTACGTTCGCCGGTTGAGGCCAGTTTTGAATGACCTCAACCTTGGTTGCCTCCGGCTCAAGGCCGTTTGCGGATAACCGGTGCCCAAGATAGATGACACTGTCCCTGCTAAACTCAGATTTTTCTAAGTTGAGGTGCAGTTGAGCTTCTTTGAGGACTTGCAAAACCTCCTCAAGATGCTTGACGTGCTCATCCATGGACTTGCTGAAAATCAGAATGTCATCAAGATACACAACCACAAACATGTTAAGCTGATGGCGGAGTACCTTGTCCATGAGGCACTGAAATGTGGCTGGTGCATTCGTCAGACCGAAAGACATAACGATGAATTCGTACTACCCATCGCGTGTCTTGAATCCAGTTTTGTGTTGGTCGCTCGGATCAACTTCAATCTGGTGATAGCCAGACTTGAGGTCGATCTTAGAGAAGACTTTGCAACCATTGACCGCATCTAACAGATCATCTATACGAGGCAAAGGGTAGACATTCTTCCTTGTGATTCAATTCAAGCCACGATAATTAATGCACATCCGGAGTTTGCCTCCTTTCTTTGGTACAAACAAAACAGGTGCGCCAAACTCGGACTCGCTAGGCCTAATCCATCCACGATCAATCATGTCGTCGATTTGTCTCCGCAGCTCCTCCAACTCGCCTTGTCCCATACGGTAGACGCAGCCCTTTGGAGGAACACTCCCTTTTACTATCTCGATCTTGTGTTTGACTGGACGCTCGGGTATTGCGCGAGGTTCAGCCAAAACTTCAGGAAATCGATCTAATAGAAGGCGAATGTTCGCTGGGATTTCCGGTGGCGGATCATCCTCATCAGGGGAGAGAAAATCAGATCGAGAATTTACAGTAATCACAACCGGTTTCGAAGTATTTGGATCAGAAATAGATTGATCATTTACGGTAGAAGTAGGTGGAACAGAAGTAGAAGTAGTAGAGGTAGAGTTACCTTCAAAGGTAGAAAATGCAGCAAAAGTAGAAGGCACATGGAGAGGCTTCACAAGAGCTATATGTACAAACTCAGCTTCCTTGTGCCTGCGCACTGACCTGCAGAATTTGTTAGCACTGAGAAGAGTCACAGGGGACTCGCGCGTCTCATCTAACAAGACGGTACGCTCGTTCGCCTTGGCGTCAAGTACCACGAACTAGTTGTCCGCCCACGTGGTCCTTAGGCAATGAGCCTTTAGCCAGCCCAAGCCAATGACCGCGTCGAAAAGACACTTGTCCAGGACGTACAAATTCAGCTCATGTGTGACAGTGCGATCTTTGTCAAAGGTGATGCGCACACCTTTGACAGCATGAGTGGAAGTGACAACCTCTTGGTTGCCCACCTGAGTCCGACAAGGGTTCTGCAGTTCCACTTGCTTTATACCGAGGCCCGCCTTACGAATCCCATTCGGAGAGAAGAAATTAGTGGTCGAACCATTGTCAATCAGCACACGAATGTATCAGCGGTTAATGAGTAGTTTAAAGAAAGTCAGCTCCACGCTCCCTTGAACATGGCGTTGCTGCTTGAGCTGCAACCAATGCTCCATGTGGGCGTGGAGGTCGACCTCTTTAGACTCCTCCCAGGGCTTAGTGTATAACACTTGGACTGCATCGGCCTTGGAATCAGCATTAGTTTGGGCTTCAATAGCACGCTGCTGACCAGATCCAGGCTCCTCGGAAGGGCCTGCAACTGACTGCCCAGCTTCCCTTGCTGTAGAGAGTGTTGATGACTCCTCTACGCCCCTTGCTTGTTTTCCTAAAGACGATAGATCCTGCACAGCATGCCCAGGCTTTTGACAATGCAAGCATACGCGCAGTTTGGACCTTCTTTCCCATTCTTTTTGGCTGATGCGGAGGGCTTCCCAAGGCTTGGTAGAAGCGTCCTCCGGTTTCTCAGGGATCTTAGCATTTTTGGGAAGGTGTAAGACAGTTCCCTTACCCGAACCACGGTTAGGGCCCTTATTTGAAGCAGTCTTTCTAAATGCATGAAGTTTTTCATCGTCATTTCTGTCACACTCAATGCCTGATGTGGAACAGCCCGTATTGGAGTCCGGCTCTAGATCGTCATCTAGAGACAGATCATCCGCATAGGACTGATCTTCAGCCTCCCGATAATCGTGCAGTGCAAGCTGGTTGCTGCTTCCAAACCCCTTGCGTTGTGGTTTCCCACCTGCAGCGGGCGCCTTCTTGCGCTTGGCGAGGTCCTTGGCCCCTAGGTTGACTAGGTCCTTCATGAACTCTCGCCAGGTGGCATGGGAGAGGTATTCTTTAGGGGTCACTCCCATGACTACATCCATACAAGATACGTCAGTCATTCCCAGATCCGGAGTGGTGAACAGACCAGTCAAGTACTGTTCCAAAGCCTGCATGGATGACCTACATGTTTGACCCTTGAGGGCCTCAAGCTTCAGTCTAGCCTTGAGCGCAGCATGTTTATCCTGGTACCGGTCAAGGAGAAGATCCTCAAGGGTGCGAACAGGGGTGGCCTTCATCCATTCAGTCAGGTCTATGCGTTCATAGCCTGCTGCGACAGCTTGAAGCTCAATGTGGTTTCGCACGGCGGGCTCAATATTAGTCCCTATGATCATACTTCGGTCCTCTTGCGGTATCCGCATGACCTCAAAGTACGACTGCATGGAACTAATCCAAGAGGTGATGTCAGCCTTCCCGTCGTACTTGGACGGCAGCGTGGCCGCCCGCTTGTCCACCATGGGACCCCTGTAGTGAACGCCAGTAAGGACTGTGGCGTTTTGGGCTAAAGTTCCTGCATTTGGGACTGGGACCAGCGCAGAACTGTCGACGCTGCCGCTCGAGGAGCTGGCACCGGTTCCTGCGCTTGCCATGGTTCCACTTGATCTTACTATGAGGGTTGTGTTTGATTGAGAGACCGGGACTACAGCAGACCGAGGGTTAGGAGGGCGGGAGGCAGACAACTGGGACTGTTCAAGGCTAATTACCTTAGCCAGCAGCTCTTCGTTCCGCTGCTCAAGTGTTGTCATACGAGACTCAACGTTTTCCAAGGTCCGCAGTCGGACCAAGGCTGCTACAGCAGCAGCTAGCTCCTCCTGGAACCGGTCAGCATTCGCTTCCGGGATCCGAAGGAGAGCCACCTGATCAGCAATGTGGGCGGCTCTAGCTGATGCCGTTGCCTCCCTTTCCCTCTGCACGGCATCATCATACAGTTTTTGAAAGAATGGTTTCTGGCCCTCGTCTGCTGCGTCCAACATGGCCTGCCATTGGGCAGATGTGATGACCGCCATGCTGGAGGAAGGGGTGTCAGTAGAACTCTCAAGAGGGGTCCGCTCTCTCCTTACATTTGGACGAACACTCCTCTTGCCCCTCCTCACACTCTCAAACAGAACACCTTCTCTCTCCCTTTCTTCTCTTTTCGTTGTTTGCGCACGCGTCTCAATACTGGACATAGATAGTTCAGATGAGAGAAACGAACTGAAAATCACTCAGAGAAGAAGGTAGAACTCCTAGCCGGAGCGGCGAATCATTTGGACTTAGAGCGTGGCACGCAGCAGAAGAATAAATAAAATTAAAAAATTGAAAAAAATAAAACAGCAGAGAGGTCTAATTTATAGAACGGGCCCGATCAGATCAGCTGGAGATCCCCTCTTGTCTAACCTGACAGGGGACATTCATCACAATAAATCAGACGAAGAAGACTAATCTGCAGCAATGGAGATTTCGAGGGGTGCAGATGGTCGCCGAGTCAGACGCGGGGCAGTATGTGCTAACATGCGGTAAGGCCAGTCAAGATCCCCTTGAAAGGAATGCCCTTGCTGTCCGCATGTCCCCCAAATCCAGCACAGCAAAGAAATGCACTGGCGGCAACAGATCTGGGCCCAAAAGGTCCTGTCCCGTTGGGCCTGGTCCCACTGGGTCCCGAGTGGTCCCAAGTAGCCCGTGGACCAGGACCAACGTGATAGGGGTACCAAGTCGGTCCCAAACTGCCTCTACCATACTGAAAAGGAAAAGACAACTTTCAGCAAGAACTTACTTCTACAGCCGTTCAGAAATGAAAAAACAATGCACCGTAGAAAGATATGCCATTTAGAGTAGATACATCATYCATCCATCCATCAGGTGAGAAAGCAATCCACAAGCTCACACACACAACCAAGACCACAAAGAAGAGGAAGAGAACCCAGCACACCCCCAACAGGCCATGAAGCACCAAGCAACCTCYCACGGGCTTTCCCAGGTCACACAACACTTACCTGTGAGGCCCGGCCTCCCAAGATGGATAACGAGTCACTCCCCTCTCATATAAGTCCTCCTGACCCCTAGCTACCACTACACGAAGTGTCCTAGCATGACTAAGAGGGCCTTCCTACACCCCTGTTGCAAAGCCGGATTCCCCGTCGATGCCCGAAGACCAAAGTAGCAACTTGCAGCAATCCAATTAAGTCTCCCTCTTGAGGGGAAGCCCAAAAGTCACTCAATGTCTTCCTGAAGTCCAGATTCCAGGTGCGAGTACCTCTCACTCTCTACTCCCTCTCGCTTACTCCAATCAGCCTCCTTTGTGTCTCGCCACCCCATACATTCACTCAAGCAACCTGGTTGGGTCCAATGTCGACCCTACATGACCTAACCAGGTGGGGGCAGCATCCCCATACCTCACTGCCCCACTTAACCCTAACTTCCCAAACCTAATCCGAGATTAGGTTAGCCCTAACCTAATTCGGAGTTAGGGTTAGGGTGACTAACACCTCTCGCCAGCAAGTAAGTCCGCTCCGATACCAATTGTTACAATCCTGGTCATTTCCAAAGTGCAAATTCACAATGAAAGACAATGCCACCCAATTGCGAAAGAAATGCAAGCACTTGCAAAGAGATAAAGACCAGAGGAGAGAGAAAGAAGAAGAAGAAGAAGAAGAAGTATACCAGCAAGACCAATGACAATTCCCCCTTCTCTCTCCACCTTCCTCCTCCTCCTTCACTTCACCAATCTTATTCTTCACTCAATAATAATAATAACAATGAATGGATGAACCAGAATCAATATCCGAAGTTCCCTCTTACTGCTGACTCAACTCACAACAACAACAACAACAACAAGTCCACCATGGCTATGGCTCCCTTCCTTCAACCTCCTCTCTCATGCATAGGCCATGGCGGACTACTAGGAGGCAGCTATAATGCTGCCCTGATGTCCAGAAGACAACCCAAAGCAGCTATGCCGCTGCTTGACTTGGTCCGCTATGCCTGACTCTGCCTCGAGCTGCCCTGGTGCAGCGCTACCCCAACTGGGGTCTTCCAGATGCAGCGCCCAACAAGGTGATGGAGACGGTGTCCACCATAGCCAGGTAAGTGCCCTACCACTCTCCTACCATGTCCCCCTTCTTCCTCCTCCTCAAGCTGGGGTGCTCACCATAGCCAGGCTGAGCCCCAGCGGACCTTCACCTCCAAGCAGCGCTGCTTCAGTCCAGCGCTGCGCTCCAGCAGCATGTCGCCAATCCTTGCATACCGCAAATGAGGAAGAGCTCTCCGCTCTTCCTGAAGATATAGCGGCCTACCGGCCTCCTGGGCGGTGACTTCCTAGGCCAAGCGGCCTCCCAGCAACCGGTACCTCCTCCCTTT